AAACAAAGTATACCAGTAGGTGTAGATTGGTCTTATAAAAATCCTTATATTATATATGCAGCAACCTCTGATGGTCATGTATTATCGTGGAATGCTTATTTTGATATTGTTTCTTCAATTTCACTAGGAAAAATGATATGTACTTGTATTTCTTCTTGTCCTCATGATCCACATCTTGTAGCTATTGGCTCAAAATGTGGCTTAGTTTATATCTTTAATTTTCAAGGTAAAGGAAAAATAGATTATAAACTTAGAGGACATGATACTGAAATAGTTAGTTTATCATGGTGTCCCATAGAGAGTAATATTTTAAGTGGAAATCTAAACAAAGATTTATTATTAGCTTCAGGAGGAAAAGACAGGTAATTTAAAGAATTTTATAAAATATTTACAATCACAATTTTAATATATAAACTTTAAATTATAGATCAATTTTCATTTGGAAAGCTGGTGGAGATGGCCGTTATGAAACAACAATTTCATTACCTACAGGTCCTCTTGATTCTCATCAGCATAGAACCAAATTAAATGCTTCTATAGGTAATTGGGTTGTAGTTCGTTGGATAGAACCTAAGCTATTACTTACAAGTTCATTATGGGGTGAATTAATTTCTTGGGATTTATCAACAATGATAAGAGGCAAACCTAATGTGAAAGTAATACATGCGTATCATGTTAGGGGCTTATTTTGTATTGCACATATACCAAATATCCAAAACAATTCAATAGAAAATTGGAGAGTAAAACAGAGGTTTTTACCAAATTTATGATAATATATTATAATTATTATTATGAAATAATCATAAATTTAAATATTCTCAATAAATTACAGACATACAATTTGGACTTTAGCTCAAGATCGAAGAATTATTTGTTGTGGAATAAAAGATAATAATGTTGAAGTGGATTATGATATTTTTACACAATCTGGATATGTATATTGCATTGCTGCTTGTCCATTAGATACTTCACATGTTGCATTTGGAGTTGGAGATGCAATGTTACGATTATGGAATTTATCAGAAGCACATAATACTTCCTTTAATATAACTTTTTTATGGCAAAAAATTAAAGGAAAAATTCGCGCAGTAAGATTTATATTATATTTTGAATAAAATATATTAGAAATGAGATATTTTTAAATAATATTCCTTTGAAAAATTATAAATTGATTGTTTAATAATTATTATATTATACATATTAATTATATTATATAGATATCATGGCATCCTGAAAAAGAAAATTTATTAGCATATGCAACTGAAGAAGGCCGAGTTGGTGTATTTAATATAAATAATAATAAATTACCCACATTGTACAGACAATACCATAGAAATACTATATATACTCTTAGTTGGGGACCAAATCCAGAAAACAAACAATATGTTTTATATTCTTGTGGAGAAGGAGAACTTGTATATTATGATCCAGAAAAACCAAATCAAGGTAATATTTTATATTTACAAATAAATGATTGTAATATTATTGTATTATAGTGAATATAAAATTCTAATTTGTTTAATTAGAACCTAAGTCTGTATTGAAAAAAGAGTGTACAGAATTCTCTTGGAAGCCAGATTTTTCTTGTTTAGCAGTAGGATTTGAAAATGGGTATGTTTTTATATGATGAGTATATAATATATGATATATAAAATTCATAAAAATTCTTTTATTTTCAGAACAATTTCATTTTTTAATAAAGAATTTGAAACATGTGGATGTGCTAAATTTGCTTCAAAAATGGTACATTGTTTAGTTTGGCATCCTGAGAGTACAGCAACAGATTCAACATTTTCTCCATTAAAAAATTATTTGGCTGTTGCTTTTGAATCATGTACTATACTTATTTTTGATTTATCTAATTTTATAGATCATTTTATAAAATTGAAAAATTCTACTAATAATGATAATTTAAAAGAAAAGTGCGATATTTACAAAGTAAATGAAATTGTAGCTACTTTAAATGGACATAGTAAAAATGTTGTTTGCTTAGCATGGAGTCCGTACATAAGTGGACATTTAATATCTGGTAGTTATGATGGAATTGCACAGGTATAAGTTTTTAAATTTCATTTAAATAAAAAGAGAAATAAAATAACAATATAAATATCTATTATGAAAATAAATATTTATATTATATATACATCACTGTTTTTTTAGGTATGGAATATTGAAACACAAGAATTAATAGCTACTTATATGGAACATTGTGGTCCTGTATTGTGTTGTATGTGGAGTCCATTAGATCCTGATTTTATTATAACTGGCTCTGCAGATTTCACAGTACGAATATGGAAAGTTGCTTATAATTTACCACAAAAAAAATTATCTAAAAAAATATTAAGTAAACCTAAAGAAAAAGAAAATAAAACTAATAAAAATATTTCCATTGAAAATAATTTACTAGAAGTAACTAAGGCTACATCAGAATGTTCTATTTCAGATGTTTCTCAAATTGTTCAAAGTATAAAAATAGTATTAATAAAAATAATAAAAATTATATTATTACAGTACAAATAATGAATAATCATCAATAATTTCAGAATCAGAAATAAAAATGAAAACAGAGACAAAAAATAAAAAATTTGAACGATCATATTTTTCAAAGTGCACTAATACAACAAATGAAAAGACATTTTTACTTAATTCTCTTTTAAATATTGTAAGAAAAATAAAAAATGACAGTTTAGATATCGAAGAAATTCAAAAAGATACTTCATATAATATGATACCAGTATTATTTTCTACACAAAAAAATTTTATGTCACACATTAATAATGAAAGTAAGTTATCCATTATTAAAATAAAAAAAATGTTATTATATATATTATATTATATAATATAACTGTCTACTTATATTTGTTTTGTATTCAATCATTATTTAGGATTTATTCATATTGAAAAAAATAAACACAATTTAGTCACAGAAATGGATGTATGGTGTAATAATCTTAAACAAAATTTAGATGAAGCTGCTAAAGAAAAACGTCTTAATGATTTTCTTGTTTCACTTTCAGCTAGTTTGTCTATGAAGTATGTAATTATTTTATCTATTCATTTTATAAAATTTCATTTTAGAATTGTTAAAAAGTAACTAATAGTAATGTATTATAGAACATGGAAAGATATGTGTGAATTGTATGCATATCAATTAATAAGTGAAGGCAATCCTTGTAAAGCAGTATCTTATTTACTTTGTATACATAAAACATATAAAGCCATAGAAGTATTTCAAGATGCAAATTTATATAAAGAAGCATATATTCTTGCAAGATGTAAACTTGAATGTGATGATCCAGTACTAACAGAAATTTTAAAAAATTGGGCAAAATATAGTGTACATACAGGAAATTTTGAACAAGCAGCATATATGTAAGTTATAAGTTATAAGATAATCATATAATGAATAAATAAAATATTATAATTTTTTTTTCAGTTATGCTAAATTAGGAGAATTTTCTGATATAATAAAATATCTTGGACGTCGTAAAGATGCAAGTACTTTAATAACAGCAGCTGAAATTGCTCTTTTATGCAATGATGATGCCTTAAGTAAATCTTTAATTGATCAAGCAATAATTGTAACTTTCACAAATTCAGAATATGACTTAACACGAAATATAATAGCAAAGTTTCCATATCTCAAGGTATAATTATAATATAATATTTATATAATATATTTTATATTTTTATTATTATTTTTTTAAAAAGTAAATAAAAATATTTATTTTTAGTATCAAGAAATACATTTGTTAATTTTGGAAGAACTTGATAAAATAATTAAAAAAAATGTAAGCTTTAATATGATTCAAACGTGGATAGAAGGAAAATCAGATTATGGTTTATTGCAAGCTTTAAAAACAGTTTGTGGAGAATGTAATTCTTATTATACTGATTTATTTAAAAATAGCTTTTGTACTACTTTAGATAATGAGAGAATGGTAAGATTGATTTAAATTTTAATTAATTTTTAAAAACATTGAAAATTAATCATTGTATTTCATAATTTGCAATTTTAGTTATGGTTAGTAGTTGGTCATAACATTGCATTAGCAATAGCCTCAGTTGAAAAAGAACAAAAATTGAAACATATTGTTACTACATTACATACCATTACTCAATTTGAAATATTACATAGAAAAAATTTTGAAAATCAACATAATTTACTAATTGAAATTATAATAAAATTAGATATTAAAGGATTAATGGATAAAACAAGTATTTATACAAAAACTGATTATTCTGTATCAATAAGTTTACGAGCTTATTTATGCTATGCCCTTTTAAATTGGTTTACATGCAATATAGACAAAGAATCTATTAGTAATAATATAAAATTCTATATCAATTTGATTGAAAATTTATTAGAAGATGCAATAAATAAACAAGCAGTAAAACATTGGTCAGTAACAAATGAAATTAATAAATTGGAAACTCAAATAGTTTCTGTAAAATGTAAGTAACAAAAATATTATTTATTTTATATAGTAATAAAAAAATAGAAAAATAAATATTTAACTTTTTTTAGGTAAAACGCAAGAAGAAAGTAAAACTGATCAAGATATAGAATCCCTCATGATTGAATTAAATGAATTAAAAATACAAAAAAAACAAATACTCAATGACTTGGTTCATGTTCCAAATCCTGTTATGGTATATAGCATAGCAAATAACTTATGCAGCAAGTTGCTGGATGAAGATATTAAAAATAAATTTTCGGAAAATATTTCCAAAATGTGGTTAAATGCTATTACATAAATAAATAAATATCTTTTTTTTATATTGTCTTTTGCTAAATATTAATGATAATTAAGAATTTTAATTTATATGACAAATATATTTTTATTATTTGACTAAATTCCAATTTTTTTTATATTACATGTAAAAATAGTAAATACTATTTTTACATTAAATAACTAAATATAATATTTATGAAAATTAATTATAATTATATAAATCATATATAATTAATTATATAAATCATCTTTTTTTTTATTTATTTTTTTTTTATTTAATTTGATATTTTCCAAAAACGAATTTCTCTATCACTTGTTGCACAAACATATGGTAATTTATAATGACAAGTTATTCCACCTATTAATTTAACTTGACCACAAATTATTTCTTGTTCAGTTCTTATATTTGTAACTTTCAATAAATTATCTGGTCTACCTATACTTGCTACAAAATTTTCATAAGCAGGGAAAAATTTTACTATTAAACCTCCTTCAATGTGAAGTGGTTTTGATTCCAATGGTGGACTGAAAAAAAAATTACTATAATTATTAAATATATAATTATTTGTTAACAAATTAGTTAACTTTAAGTAAATTTTTTATTCTATTACCTAGGTTTGGATATATCCCATAAAATTAGTTTTCCAGCTGCTATGGCTGCAACTTTTAATGGATTAGATCCCCAGTCAATAGACATTAAGGGAACTATATCTGTATCCAAAGACATAATTGCTTGTTGACTTCGTACATCATACATATGGATCAATCCATTTTTTTCACCAACAAGAAGTTTGCCAGATTTTTCAAAATGAAAATGTACACTCATTCCAGGAGATGTTAAGTAAAATGTAGATATACATTTTTCATTTTCTTTTACTGCCCAAAGTTTACATGTGTGATCATCAGATACAGAAGCCAATATTTCACCTTCAGTTTCATAACAAATTGAATTTATGTAATCCTTATGTCCTTCCATCTTATTTAAAAAGAAATATAAATATATTTTTTTATAAAAAATAAAAAATTCCATCTTTTTAATCTTTACCTCATATACAGTATTATCATTCATATCACTACTATATAATCTTATTTTAAAATCTGCTCCAGCAACACAAAATATTAAAACTCTTGGTACAACACTCAAGGAGGTTTCTGGACTCCAAGCAATAGCATGTGGTCTAATATCATGACGAAATGTTCTAATAGGTTTATAAGCAATATCTTCTACTGCTTCATCTTCATCCTTATAAAATGATAATTTATTCAAAAATAAATTTTTTTTAAATTTTTTACATAAATATATTATATAAAATATATATATATATATAATATATTTCATAAATATTATTAATATTT